CATTTGCAAGTACTGCTGGCGTAGTCTCATTCTGATTGATGTATTCTGATTTAACCATTCAAATCATAGCGCTCTCAGGGACCAAAGAAAATTTCCGACATGAAGAATCCCATGAATTAAACACTGGGCAACAACCAAGCAGTACAACAAGCACTGAACAGCAGTGGTTAAGTGGTGAAAATGTCCAACATGGACAATTGGATGATTCAAGCAATGGGCAACGACCAACCAATGAATCGAGCGTTAAGCAGCAGTGGTTGAGTGGTGAGTTGATGCACTTTAAGTGCACTTTTCCTTTTTCATTACGTTATTGCTGATGTATTACTAATGTATTGTCTTTGTTTACACCAGATCAACTCTTTTACATACTGATATACATCTCTGCGTTAATGGTGGTGGTATTGCTTGTGGTCAGTCTGGTTTTGCACAGACTTTGGTAAGTTGTCTTTATTGTAATGCATACCAAATTATGCAGATGTTTTGGCAAAACTTTAGTGTAGGGACCAATTCTCATGATTAACTAGTTGCTTATTAGCATGCCTATTATTAACATATTGGCTGTTTATTAGTGCTTATAAAGCACATATTCTGCATGACCATACTCTACATCCCTAATCCTACCCAATACCTAACTGCCTTACTTTAACTATCAATGTTTTAATAATGATTTAATGGCTTTTCTTTTAGGAGAATACACCAAGCTGCTGGTAAACCAACTTTTGAGGCCCATCAGTCAAAGTCCCTGATGTTGTCATCTGTTATTATTTAACCTGTCAAGACGCAATGATCGCCGACGGCCTCAGATTATTATTGTTTCACTTTCAAACATCACACTCATACTTGATCTTTTGGGTATGTCATTTATGTCTCCATGCCAAAATGGGGGGTGCTTGAGAAGGGGTTAAGTGGCAGTGATATTTATGATACTTTGCACATTGTAGGTATATCTTTCACTGTGAATTTTAAATATCCTTATAAAATATGTAATATTTTAAATATATTTAATAAATACCAGTTTGCTTTCTATCAAGCCACAATTAAGGTTTAAAATAAGGGATTGTTTTGCTCTGACTGATGCTCTGATAGTGTGGAACTTGATTTTATTTACATGGTATTGACGGGATTGTGAAAAGTGGAGATAATGATTTGTACATGGATACTGATAGTTGACCAGAACATCCCAAAGGTTTTATTATTATTATCATTATTATTTCAAAATTGTGGTCATTTGGTATTATTGTCATAAGCTTTATTACTTGGTAGGTGTCAAAATATGAAGAATTACATTTTCCTTGATCATGTGACATAGGCGGCCATTGTTCTGAAGATATATCGTGAGTTTCAGACCTCAGTGCAAAAAGGGAAAAGAAATAAAAACAAAATAAAATAAAAAAATAAATAAAAGCTTGTAATAGATGAGAAGTAATACTCTTGTGTAATGTGCTAATCTGATTCTGTTTCAGGGCATAAACTAAAAATAAAGTGTTAATGAGCAACATTCAGCGTCTCTGATATCAGTTCTCTCATTTATCTGTAATACGTTGTGGAAGATGAATAGCCAGTATGAGGAAAGCCTCTGATAAGAGGACATGCTCTTGTCTTCTTCAGCACATCTGATATTCATCATGGTGCATCAGTCTGTCTTGTCCCCATTCCTACCGACACTCAACACCTCAATCCAGATGTTTGTAAGTCTAATGATGTGTTTCCCGAATCACAGTGTCAGGACCACACTAAATCATCATTAGGAACTTCACCACTGACATTAACGAGACATTTCACCATAGTTGTCTTACCCCTCGTGGTTAAACTTTTATCACACAGGGTTTAACAGTGTTGAAAACGAACCTTTTCATGTTTTTTCATGTTTACACCACTCATTTTTCACAAATTGAAGATTTCATATTATTATTTTATTACAACAACACACTGTATATATTTCATTAGGATATTCTTAGCTAACATGTTTAGTTTAAGCCCTATGTATACACCGCATTATTATACATTTTTTAATTAATTATATTTTTCATATCTGTAGCCATAGTTATAATACATCTTAAAAGGTAATCTTACAGTATCTATTCATGGTTATACCTTTTAAGAGAATAATGTGGTATAACATAAAATACAGAAAATGGGTGTCGTTTTTTTTTTTTTTTACTCTTTTGACAGCACTAATATATATGACCCTGAACCACAAAACCAGTCTTAAAGTGTCAATTTTTTGAAATTGAGATTTATACATCATCTGAAAACTGAATAAATAAGCTTCCCATTGATGTATGGTTTGTTAGGATTGGACAATATTTGGCCGAGATACAACTATTTGAAAATCTGGAATCTGAGGGTGCAAAAAATCTAAATATTGAGAAAATCTCCTTTAAAGTTGTCCAAATGAAGTTCTTAGCAATGCATATTACTAATCAAAAATTAAGTTTTGATATATTTACGGTAGGGAAGTTACAAAATATCTTCATGGAACATGCTCTTTACTTAATATCCTAATGATTTTTGACATAAAATAAAAACCTATAAATTTGACCCATACAATGTATTTTTGGCTATTGCTACAAATATACCCCAGTGACTTAAGACTCCAGGTGCTCCAGGGTCACACACACACACATATACACACACACATACATGTGTATAGTATATACACACACACACACACACACACACACACACACTAAATGGACAAATGGATTCCTGCACATCTCTTAATTACTGAATTCAGGGGCCTTATTTATGAAATGCATGTACACACTAAAGTGTCACATCAATTTCTAAGTAGGCGTTTCAATCAGACCCTTTCATCCCTGCTAGATATTCCACGGACCACAGTAAAGTGTAAACCTTCTGTTGGCTCGGAGCAAAAGGGATAGCCTTCGTTGTCCTTGTGCATTGATGAGTCTTGGCTGCCGAAACCCTGTCGCCGGTTTGTGATTTTTCCCTCCTCAGACAACTGTTGGTAAATTCTCCCCACTGCTGGCCGGGAGAAACCCACAAGCCTGGCATCTTCAGACATACTTTGACCAGTTGCCTTGCCATAGCAATTTGACCATTGTCAAAGTCGCTCAGATCTTTATTCCTGCTCGTTTCTCCTGCATCCAACACACTGATTACGAGAACTGATTGTTTGCTTATCATCTAATCTACCCAGATATTAATATGTGGCCTTGTTAGGAGATGATCAACAATATTCGCTTCACCTGTGACCGGTCACAGTGTTTTGGCTCATCAGTGCATATTTATGCTTCAAGGAAAACTAAACAGCCCCGCAGGGGTTAATAAGTGAAGTTATTAACGTAATTTCGGCAGGAGTACGCCCATATAATCTTCCAATTAATATACAAGTATAAAAACAGCCTCTTACCACTTCTGTTCTTTCGGCATCCCTCCTCCTCCCCATCTCCCCCTTTTTATGCATATTTATTTATTTATCTTTCTGTCTATGATGGGGGGCTATCGGAGCTCGAGTAGAATAGTCTCTCTGAGCCCTCCATTGCAGACATCAAGCCAAATCTGTTTACCACTAATGCTAAGATTATATGGGCACACAAACTCATGAATGTAGCCTTGGTTTTGATTGTAAATGCTTGAAATACACAGCCACAGAGGGGAAGAAATTGAGAGAGAAAAAGAGGACAGGTGTAAAACACAAAAAGACAAGGAGAACAATGGAATAGGGCAGAAAATAAATGAAATTTACACATCATTTTGCTATGTCAATGTAATGCTGGGTTTTCTATAATAGGCTTGGCCTTGCCTTCACTTGTTAAATCACCTGGGGATCAAGGTCATGGCAGTGTGCTGTAATAAACAGCTGCGTCCATCTGTTTTCTTTCGCTTGAGAGTGAAAAGGCCTGAATATCTATTACTTTCACAAATACAGGTAATACAGGCAAACAGAGTGCTGCTTTAACACTCTCCCAAAACAATTAGAGCACTTGGAGAGAAGGGTAAATAAACCAGACCACGAGAGATAAAGTGAAATGTGTTTACGCACAGCACATCCCACCTGTATTTAAACTAGATCAAAAGAAATATAAAGACGCACACTGAAAGCTATCAGTGCCAAACGTAGCTTGAAGCATGAATGCTTTTAAAAAATTCACAAAATTCCAAAAAGTGTTTTTATTGATCTTACTACATATAAACTGAAAACCTTTAATAACCAGAAATGATAGCTTCCAAACATGCCCAGTATATAGGCAACTATATGAAGGCAGGTTGAAAAGCAGTCAAATTTATTGGTACAGATATGTGATGTTAGTACAAAGACAAGAATAAGCGATTTAGTTCAAAGACAATAAAGTACAGCAATAAGGATCATTTTCTTAGATTTTACATCAAACATTGTTAATGCATAAATGATTTGACCGCTACAAATATATTTAAAAAAAAAGTAACTTTATTTTAAAGGCAGAGTAAGTGATTTCTGGTAGCCAATGTTGATATCTCGGCTAATGTCCGTCCCATGCACTGAACGCGCTCTCCTCCACATCACGAGTAGACACGCCCCTTATTGCTGATTGGCTACAAGTTTGTTTTGCGATTCGGCCCGAATCAGTTTTCTAAAGTGTTTTTGAAAAATCACATACCCTGCCTTTAAGGACCAATTCTCACTATGAAATAGCGTGCATACTACTAACATATTGGCAGTCTATTAGCACTTATAAAGCAATATAAATGCCTTATTCTGCATATTTTAGATCCCTCAATTCTACCCCTTACTATTTTAATAAGCAGCAATTTAGGACTTTGTTGAGGCAAAAGTTGTAGTTAATAGTTAGTTAGTAGTGACAATTTGACCTTAAAGTAAAGTGTGTCCACATATGCACAGACTATATTAATGTGACTTAAAACAGCATGCATTCAAACAGGCTACATTACTTGGTGAAAGGATTCTTTATTTCAGTTATTAATTTTAACAAATGTTTGTACTGAATACTTGCGTCTTGTAGATTTATTGTTAATACTGTTGAAATGACAGCACATAGTGCTCTGAACCTGCTCTGAACTCTGCCACTGCGCTCTCTGCAGTCCGATCGTAACTATTTTAAGCAGGATATATGAATCAGTGAGGGGGAAAAAAATACTCTCACAGATAGGGGGTGATCAGCCTCATGTCAAGTCACATTTTCTATTTTTAGTGTTTTCTGTTTGACAGAAACTACAAAAGGCATGGGCTCATTTCTTTGGCGTAAAATGCACATGTTTCCTGTTATAGGCACAATATAGTATATTGTAGATATGATTAATTTAAATACTGCATCAGCAGCTCTTAAAAGGACAATCAAAGTAAAAGCATTTAGCAGAGGCCAAAAGTCTGAAAGCAGGTTTACAGCACATGAATGTGGTTTTAGACTTTTGGACCACATTGTATGTATTTTCACTTAGAATGAAAAGGCTGGATGTTTTTAGTAGCTTGGCTGACCTTGGAGTTAGTTGTTCGATTTAAGGCTTGGCAGATGAATTCTCCCGCTTCCATCACTTTCAACAGGTCCACCCCCTGCATCACAAACACAAACACCACCAACAGTTACCAGTCACAACAGACACCAGGGGGCGCAGTAGCAAAAGAAACTGGAAGCCTGAGATGTTATCTGTGTGAGGATTAAGAAGAGGAGGCAGTTAAAGGGTGTGGATTTAAAAAAACAAGTGTGAGAAACTGTAGAACATAATTACTGCAAACGTGCTGCCACCCGAATATCAGGTATATCAGGACTGGTATGCACATTTTTACCCAAATAATACCCTCCAGACACCCTCTCACACACCCATGTAAATGTTGTGTACTGTATATACTATGACAAAAACAGTTTTCCACATTTTATTCAACAACGGGAAAAACTGAGTAATGGAAAAACTGGGAGTGTAGTCAAAGTGTGTGTATAAACATATACAGTGGCCTCAGAAAGTATTTGGATGCAAAAGTCAAACATAAAAATGTGTGCATGTCTTAGCATGATGTAACAAAATAACTGAGAAAGTGGCATTTATTTTAAACACAATTTTTGTCCAAAATGTTTCACAAAGAGATGGCCAGAATTGAAATGATACAGTAGACGTACTGCCCAAAAATGAAGACAGCAAGTATTAAGATGCATTCAGATTGTAGAAATGTTATTAGCATGCTGAATTCCCATGTGAGGGGATCTGCACTCTAAAACAGATCTGTGAAAATAGGGAACAATGTACTGTATTAATACAAAATTAATTTTTTAAAGGTGTTTTATCTGTGTTTTCATTTTTGCACTGCGTTGTGTTTTAGAATGAATGGAAATGTCTATAAAATTAATGGTTAATGTCCTGCCAGAAAATTACCAGTACATTTTTTAACAGTGTGACCCAAAAAAACAAAAACAAAATCATATATCCACAAAAAATTACCACTGCAAAAAAAAAAAAATTCTGAGAACACTTTGTGCAGCATTTAACTGCAGATGCCATTTGCTTTGATTTTCTGCATCTAATGGCATTCAGACATTTTTCGAGTAACTTAAGTGCCCAAAAGTGTCATTGCTTATTAATGTAACATTCTCGGTGATTAATTTAGAAAACCGAGACTTACGGTTTCAATTCCAAGACCATGTAGCATATATAAAACATCCTCAGTAGAAACATTGCCAGACGCTCCCTTGGCATACGGGCATCCTCCGAGGCCTGCAACCGAGGAGTCGACCACAGAAACCCCCATCTGCCAAACACAAATGAAAAAGGCCGGTTAGAACCAACCTACGACACCTAGGGGGTGTTAAACCCTTAGAACAATGGCGTTCATTATCTCAAGGTATTCACATGTTACTCTTTTTCCAGGAGACTGGCATAGACGGAACATCTGGTACGCTATGGAGCATCTCTACCTTCTGTTGGACTGCATTTTTCTTGGAAGTCCCATTTAACCAGGCATTATTTGAAGCCGGATATGACGCTACAGCAATTCTACTCTGGATATTAATCACATATTAAGGAAAACATGAGGGTAAATCAGGAGATTTATTTGAATGTATTAAATGTGTTCTTTCAAGGTTTAATGTGAGCAAGGGATAACACAAAATGGGAAATAACAATCGTAATGACTTCTAGTGGGACAGCACTCCCTTTTCCAAAACCAGATTTCCTAATGTGAAAGATACTTTGGTTTTGGCAAACAGGAGAACCGTTTGAACCCAAGGCGACATAATAATTCAATGTTAATCACGCAGAGGCACTATGGTTTAACCTTGAGTACAATGCCTCAGTCTTCAGTGGTCCTGAATAAATACAGCTCACACATGTGAAAAAATAATCACCTGTAAATGCGCCTACTGTCTCTATGAGCTCGCACAGCAGCAGGTTGGATTGCACAATGTTCATAATCAGAGTAATTGTAGATTTTTTTAACAGGGTGTGGAAAAAAGGCATTTGTCTGGCCTCCATATGAGAATTAATGACGCGTTTTGGGCCAGTCTTGCACGTCTGCGCTTTTGTTGGAGCGCTAAACCAAACACCCAGAAGATGTCGCTTAACAAAGGATTAGACGTAGGCCTGTTACCAAACTCGAATGGACTTCAACAAACTCTGTCAAGCTGCTGATATGATTCCCTGAGTTTATGAAAGATGAGTTACAATACATAGAGATGTTCTCCTTGAAAGAACCAACTCAGGACCTAAAAGTAGGCTCAAATCGCATTGGGGTTCACTTTGAGCTGTGACAGGGACTCCATTGTCTATTTACTCTTTCAGTGTTGTTGTTTTTATTATTATTATTAGTAGTAGTAGAAGTATATTTGAGCACAGTTAGTGTTATGTTACATTACAGGACTAAGGCAATGGCAAATTAACAACTTTTGAATGCTGCACTTTTTCTAGTCAAGAAAAAATTGTTGTGATATTTCTACGATAACAGGCATATTTAAATTTTAAAATGTTTCAATTATTTGGAATTATTTGGAATAATGTGAATGTGGAAATAACAACACTGGCTCTTTGGAAAAACATGCCTCAACCAAAAACGTACAGTTCCCTTTCATGGGAACTTCGAACTGTGTCCTCTAGGGGTCGCTATGGGGAACGCCTCGTCGTGACCCGTGTCTGAAGCATACATTGAAAAAACACCAACAACACGTTGGCCGGCGACAGCCATGACATCACTACCGGTGTGACTATAGTATAAATAGGCACCGGGAGAACACATCATCCTCTTCTTCGTCTTCATTGACTGTTTTGTTTGAAGCGTGCATTTCTGTGGTAAGAGCGATCTCTATTCATATCATTATGGCGAGCACTAGCAAAGCGTTTAGAGGATATGAGCATCCGTGTTGTCGTTGTTTAACATCTGATGACATGAGATGTTTTCTCTTTCGCGATCGTCGGCTTGCACGAGAGTGAGTCGCTGGAGGATGATGTTATTTCATTAACATTGTCTGATCCAGGGGCCAGTGCTCTGCTGGAAAGCAGGAAAATGTCTGAGGAGGGCATAAAGCTGAGGCTGAGCTTTCCCAATCCTCCTGCCCTGTGTATGATGAGCTTTTAAAAGTTATGGATCGCGCCATGACGAGGCTTTACTTGCCCTGAAGCGGGTGAAGAAAATGACGTCGCGAAATATTGGCTAGCTTGCAGTACACTTACCCTTCTGATTCTAACAATCGCGCTGTAGGTCGAGTCCCCCTCTCGCTGAGAGCTGGGTTTGTGCTGCCTCAGCTAAGTTAAATTACTGCTAGTGAGACCCTGCGTCCTCTAGGTTTCTTGCCATGCTTCGGACGCAAGCTTCAGACGAAGAAGTGGATGATGTGTTCTCGCCTATTTATACTATAGTCACACCGGTAGTGTGACATGGCTGTCGCCGGCCAACGTGTTGTTGGTGTTTTTTCAATGTATGCTTCAGACACGGGTCACGACGAGGCGTTCCCCATAGCGACCCCTAGAGGACGCAGTGTCTCGTTCCCTACTCAGGGAACCATGGTTACATAAGTAACCTGAGACGTTTTACTTACACTTTTTAGTGCCACTCACCATATTATTTAAATTCATATTAATTACATTATTTAATTTGCAAACTGTTACAATAATCAGCATATTAAACATTGACACATTCATCTATTTCAGAGAAAACCAAATGTGCTATTAGTGCCACTCACTGGGCATTACACTTTAAAAATGTCTCCAAAAAAAAATAAAATAGCGTAATATTATTTTGCAGAAATGTTGCCACAGGCATGCTTTTTCATTGAGCCTAGGCTGGGAAATAAAGTTAACCTGGATCACTTTGTGTTTACAATGCATGCTTTAAGTTAACCAAAATGCGGACCCACAGTGAACAGTTCACACAATATGACAAACAACTCTTTGAGTTCAAAGAGCAATTTACAAAAATACAATAAAAAATAACCACTCCCCAAATAAAAGCTATCGTATGGCTTCAGAGGATTTAGAATATACTCAGGGCTCTACGCTTACTTTTCTTTTTAGGAGCACTTGTGCTCCTAACTTAAAAAATTTAGGAACACGTTCAAAATTTTAGGAGCGCCTTCTAATCAATAATCCAAAATTTTATCAAAAGTAGCCTTCCCATTACGAGGTGATATTTGACTCCTCTAACTTTATTAAAATATGTCATCTTTTGTCAAATTCTTAAAAAAAATTATATTTTATAAGCTTTTTAAATTTTTTTAATTAAAACGACAGAATAAGAACAAGTAGAATAAG